CTCCCACATCAGCAGAGCAGCCCCTGTGAGTCCAAGAGGCTCCAGGGCTGCTCCTGCGCCCCCTCCCCCCCCCCAGCTACTGCCATGGCTTGGTCAGATTTCCACGTGGATCTTTGGGTTGGGAAAGGCTCTCTCTCCTTAGAGAACCTAGTAACAGAACAGCAGTAGCCAATACGGAGTCCTGGCTGTGTACCAGGCACTCTTCTAAAGACTATATACGTATTAACCCATTTCATCTTCACAGCAGCACTGTGGGGACACCGTTAGCATCCCTAGTTTGGTAACAGTCCCTGGGGCATCCCCCACACCATCTTGTTCCAGAATCTGTACTGTTGACCTGTCAGTTGCCACACTGGCCCTCAGCGGGTCCAGGAATTCAGGCTGTGACTTAGTGGAATCTTTTTATAGATGAAAGAATGAAGGCCCTGAAAGGAAATGGACTTGCTGAAGGTCGCACAGCCAGCCGATGGCGAAGGGTTCCAGCTCCCTGCGCCCCCCCCCGCCCCCCCCCGCCCCCCCGCCCCGCATGGCCTGGGGCAGGTTACATACTCCTCTGGCTTCATTCCTGCCACAAACAGGAAAAGATGACCATGGAAGCCAGGAGGGTGGGGACTTTGGGGGATGCAAGCAAGGCGACTGCAATTGGGAGGGGACGGTGCGGGCTTCTGGGTTCTCTGGATGTGGGCTTCATAACAAGTCGCCAAGCTGTTCATTGACGTTCTAAGCATCTTTCACAGGGTCATTAGGGGGCTGAGTGAGAAATGCTTGTAAAGCACCTAATAGCACCTGACCTGGGAGACATGCTTAGTAACTGTTGTTGTTGTTGTTGTTATTTTGTTACTATCATTTGATGGTGGCCAGAGGAGTCCCCTGTGGGGATGGGAGATGGGGATCCCCAGGGGATGGAAGCAGAGCAGGGCCTGTGTTCACAGCCTGCAGCACATCACGGCCCATTTCCTAAGAGAGGGCACTGAGGCTCCCAGCGAGGGTGAGGGCACTGCCCTGGGGGCTCTGGGGGTTGGCAGTGGATGAGAGGGGTCAGGGAGGGGTTAGCATCCCAGCTCCCATCGCCCAGGGCATAGACAGCAGCCCCCCCCCTCCGGTCAGCCCCACCACAGCAATGGAAACAGCCCCCCCTCCCCCTGGAGGGCTGCGGAAACCCAGCCTGATTGGATCCAGGACCCTTGGGAGCCTGTTTCTCACAGGAAGTTCCCGGGAGCGAGCTTCTGAGGCTGACCTGGGTGGAGTGGGGCTCAGGGCTCAGGGCTGTAGGAAGTGGGGTACATGGAGGGCAGAGGGGTCATGGGGAGGAAACCTCTGAGCACACGGGGGTCTCAAGGCGCTGGGAAAATGGGAAACTCAACTTAGACCATTTCCTGCTCGTCCATCTCAGGCCATCCTTCCGGCCCCATAATGACCTCTCCATGAAAACCTTGACCACGGCCTCCTCCTGCTCAGGGACCTCCTATGCCCCACACCCAGCCTTTCATCCAGGCACTTGGCCTGGAGCTGTGGTCCTCGGTGACTGCCCCGGCTGCCTTCCCCTCCTTCCCCTGAGAACTGCCCGGCCCCACAGCAGACCACATGTGTGCTGTGTGCCTTCCTGCCTCCGGGCCTTTGCACAGGCAGTTTTTGCCACCTGGCTTACCCTTCCCTGGCATTTCTTGGCATCTCCCTTCCCCCATCAGTAAGTCCATCTTTATGACATCTTCGTTCAGATGGGCTCCTCTTCCCAGGAATGCCCCACCCCTGGCCCAGCCATACCCCAGCAGTAGCGAGTTTGAGAACCCTCTGCATCCTCATAAGCTGCCCCTCTGCTCAGAGGCTCTCTCCACCCTCACTCTCCTGGCAAACTTCTCAGTCCTCCAGGCCCATGTGGACAGACCCCTTCCTCTCACTGATTCTCTCGGTGAACTTTATTAGGCACCTACTGTGAACTGGGCACTTGAGCACCTACTGTGTGGCCAGCACTTGACTCTGGGCCTACAGCGGTGGCCCCATCCTTGTGGGCCAGGACTGGAGGGAGTATTTAGAGATGTACAGAGGCAGGTGGGGAGAATGCAGGGGGCAGTGGGTGTGTAACAGGGTGGCCCAATTCCTGTTGGGGAGAAGGTCAGAAAGTGACTTTTAAGGAGGAGCCTGGTAAGCTGTGGGGCCGAGTCAGGGTGTGGGGTTGTAACCAAGAGCCAGACCCAAGCTCCCCTGGGGGAGCTCCCAGCTCCGTGGGCAAACAAGTAGCCAGGCAGTTCCAGGACAGTGGGGTCAGGGCTTTGGAGGGGGAAGCCCAGGCAGCTGTGGGAACTCGGGGGAAAAGCTGCAGATGGGGCCTTGGAGGGGCGGCGATCAGGAAGGTTTTCCCGGCAGTGACACCGAGCGGACTTAGTGGTTGACGGGAACCTGGCAGGGTTTCGGCTGGTGATGACCCCAGATGGAAGGGCACAGCCTGTGCAAAGGCCCAGTGGCGCAAGAGAGCAGCTAGTTTTGGAGGAACCTGCAGGTAGTGAGGCTGGAGAGGGGGAGGTACCTGCTGGGATGTATGTGGCCAGCAGGGCCTTCTTGGCAAAGGCCCCTGGGTGCTATGCTGGGGAGTTTTGAGCTGTGCCCCAAAGTGATGGGACCAGCGGGGCGATTTAAGTAGGAGAGTGAGTGGCCTGGGCGGGCTTTCCTTTGTTTGGCCTGGTCCTCCTTCCTCTCTAAAGCCCCCAGAGAGGAGGGCCAGAATCCTCATGGGGCTGTGGGCGGCTTGGGGTATCTGCTTGGCCAAAGCTTGCTGAACCTTTATTTTTATTAAAAATACTCCTTAAATAAAAGTCACATAACCATCCTGTAGGAAAACCAGATTAGCCTGAACACCACTGCTGTTAGCGTTTTTGTGTTTCCTTCCCTGTTTTCTCTCCGCACCTAGTTTTTTTGTTTTGTTTGTTTGTTTGTTTTTATATATAGATGTTGTATCACAGGTATTTTCTGAATGACTGCAGCGTGGTTTTAATCCTTCTTTCTAACGGGGGAAATTGGGGGCTCTGGAGCCCAACTTTCTAGGTTCCTGTCAGACACGGACTGTTTGACTTTGGGCAAATTACCTGATCTGTCTGTGCCTCAGTTGCTTTTCAGGTTGATAGGACTGTTAAATAAGTCATTACAACGCCAGTAAACGCTGCTATTATTAATGACTGCAGACTCTGTCATTGTTTAACATGATGTACAGAGCCATCCCCTTCTTGTTTAAAATTCCGGATGTTCCAGGTTTTGCTATTCTAAGAAACCACCGAAGCGAACAGCTTCGTGTCTAAAACTTTATCTGAATTTGGGGGATTTTCTAGGGATAGATGACCAGGAGTGGGATTGCTAGGCCAGGACGTCTGAAAAGTTTTAGAGCTCGTGACACACGACTGCCAGATGGCTTTACAATGATCCAGTTTACACCCCCGGCAGCAGTGGGAGTGCCAGTGTCACCACAGGCTCGCCAGCATTGGGCATTAACATTTTCTTATATTTTTTTGCTATTTTAACCTGTGAAGCGCATTTACTTTTCACTGCCAGGGAAGCAGAACCATTGTCTGTGGTTATTAGCTGTTAACACCCTTTTTGGTCTGCTGGTCTTTATAGCGTACAACCCCTTCTCAGATCAGTTAGGAAGACAGGGCTGAGCTACAGGAAATAGGAAACAGTCTAACACAGGGGACATCACCGTGCCAGGGTGAGTGGCAGGGACCCCGAGGAGGGCGAAGGGACTTTCCTCACCCAGACCATGACACTCTCAGTTCCTCCACCAGACCCTTCCTTCATTCAGACCTTTGTCAGGTACAGTGTGGGGCTGGGAACATAAATGGCTCAGCTGTGACTCTGTTCTAACAGAGAACCTGCCCAGCAGCCGAGGTGGACGGGAAAACAGGCAGAAAACGGAGTGATGAGTGTCTGATGATGGAAATGCAGGGCAGAAAGGGAGCAGAGAGGAGAGGTACCAGCACAGCCTGGGTGGTGGAGGGTCCCAGAAGGCTTTCAAGAGGAAATAGCCTGTAATCTGGGGCCTGAGGAATAAGTTGTAGTTAACCAGTGAGCTGGGGAGGGCAGAGGGCTCCAGGGGGAGGAGGCAGCCTGCTGGGAGGTGAAGGAAGCGAGAAGGGAAGTGGGACACTGGGGGACGCTCAGGCCGGCCGGCAGGGGCAGAGTGTAAGGCAGAACAGCCAGGGAGGCCAAAGAGGTCAGCAGGGGCTGGATATGTAAGGACGAAGGAATCCAGACCCTGTGTGCAGGGACGTAGGGAGCCATGGGAGGTTCTGAGGGGATCGGATTTATATTCTACATTTTAGAAATATCAGAGTGACTACTGAGAATGGAACGTGGGCAGAGGTGGGGAAACCGTGAGGAAACTCTCGCAGCAGCTGAAGGGGGCCTGGGCCACGGCAGGAAAGGGGGGTGGGGACACTCTTTCCCCACCTGGTGGAATCCTAACCAGCTTCAAAGTGCAGACTGACTGTTGCCTCTGTCAGGTAGCCCTTCCCGACATTTGCTGTCCCCGACCCAGGTCATATGTGCCTGGAGCGTGGGGCTGCGCAGGGCCTGGCTTGTAACTGTCAACGGAGTGTCCACCTGGCTGACCTTGACCTCGCCCTGCTCCTCCATGGCAGACCCTCCATCTGTTCCCCCCTCCCCCACTTCCTTTTCTCTTTCTTTCTTTCTTTTTCTTCTCTTCATTTTAAAA